GGGTGAAATTATTTTTTTCATTATTAAGGGTGGAATTACTACCCCTTCGACGGCACCGAAGAGATTTTCCTTCAGTATACAGTATTGTTATATTGATTCTGATTTTTTGTGTCAATATCAACCTGGCTTCTCGTTTCCTTCAGGGTGAAATTATTTTTTTCATGATTAAGGGTGGAATTACTACCCCTTCGACGGCACCCAAGAGATTTTCCTTCAGTACACAGTATTGTTATATCGATTCTAATTTTTTGTGTCAATATCAACCTGTCTTCTCGTTTCCTTCAGGGTGAAATTATTTTTTTCATTATTAAGGGTGGAATTACTACCCCTTCGACGGCACCGAAGAGATTTTCCTTCAGTATACAGTATTGGATATATTGATTCTAATTTTTTGTGTCAATATCAACCTGGCTTCTCGTTTCCTTCGGGGTGAAATTATTTTTTTCATTATTAAGGGTGGAATTACTACCCCTTCGACGGCACCGAAGAGATTTTCCTTCAGTATACAGTATAGTTATATTGATTCTAATTTCTTGTGTCAATATCAACCTGGCTTCTCGTTTCCTTCGGGATGAAATTATTTTTTTCATTATTAAGGGTGGAATTACTACCCCTTCGACGGCACCGAAGAGATTTTCCTTCAGTATACAGTATTGTTATATTGATTCTAATTTTTTGTGTCAATATCAACCTGGCTTTTCGATTCCTTCAGGGTGAAATCATTTTTTTCATTATTAAGGGTGGAATTACTACCCCTTCGACGGCACCGAAGAGATTTTCCTTCAGTATACAGTATTGTTATATTGATTCTAATTTTTTGTGTCAATATCAACCTGGCTTCTCGTTTCCTTCAGGGTGAAATTATTTTTTTCATTATTAAGGGTGGAATTACTACCCCTTCGACGGCACCGAAGAGATTTTCCTTCAGTATACAGTATTGTTATATTGATTTCAATTTTTCGTGTCAATATCAACCTGGCTTCTCGTTTCCTTCAGGGTGAAATAATTTTTTTCATTATTAAGGGTGGAATTACTACCCCTTCGACGGCACCGAAGAGATTTTCCTTTGGTATGCAGTATTGCTATAATGATCATAATTTTCTGTGTCAATATCAACCTGGCTTCTTGTTTCCTTCAGGGTGAAATAATTTTTTTCAACATCGATAGTGCAAGTTGTTTTTTGAAGATTATGGAACAAAATACTACCTTATGGATCGCACCAGAGGTTACTCTTGCTTTCATTATTTTTCTCCATCATTATGTAGTATGTAGGTTGTAGGATATTTGTTCCCACAACATACAATCTCAATTATTGTATCAGGCATATGACATTGCGATACAGAATACAGCATAAAATATGTTTTTCATCAGATATATTATTTATGCCATACAGAGTTCCATACAGTGTTATTATACCTTTCAATTCGTTTAGCAAGTAATGAGGGAAAAAAATTTGGACGCCAATGGTCGTTCGGCTGTTTCCGGAATTTTGGCTGCTCACTTTTGGCTGCCAGGTTCACACCGGTAGTGATTTTTAACCTATCTTGCCTCCTAATATCATTTTCCGGAAATGTTGGTGGGTCCATGACCAGAGCAGTGTTTTTCACTGAAGATTACCTCACGACTTTGGTCATAGTTGGTATATATATCTATCGCTCCTTAAAATTGAACAGTTACGTTAGATATACGGGTTGATATTCCATTATAGTAGTGACATGCACACTGTTTATATTTTTAAATACATCCAGTGGGATTGAATTTTATTTTATGTTGAATATTAGAGTGTATTTTTTTATGTGATATATTTGTTTTGTTTATTTTAAATATATATATTTTTTTAGTAGGCATACTAGTACTTCTTTTATATAATTCTGAAATCTAATCCACCCTGTATTTGTTTCAATTAAATGGCATCAGTAGATAGTAAATAGAATGTTAGGATAGGGACACATGTAAGCCATTTTGACAAATCAAAATAGGTATTGTAGTTTCGATACAAAAAAAATCTCGATTTTTCACATTCTACGTATAGGTATACCTTGAGCTTGATCAACGAAATCATAGCTCAATTAGAAGAATCGAAAAATGTAATAACATATAAGGTGTTCCATTTTGAATAACAAAGCTGCTACTACTATACTACTAAGTACTACATAACTACTAATAATAATTTCTAGTGAAGCAGATGAACATTATCGAAAATAATTTGAATAAAAACGAGCGTCCTCGCCAACAAAACATAAGCATATAATATGTACATATAGTTTCATGATTTTCGATGAGTGGTTCGCTATTTACATGTAGGACTCGTCGTGACATAGCCTCGGACATAGCGAATTATTGCAAATCAAATCATCGCTTTCATTATCTGATAGGTCGCAGTAGATCACTTGATGCCTATCAAATGTTTCTTATTTATTTGAAAAAAAAAAAATGTTGAAATGTGATCAAGAAAACTGTTGGTGGCCCACCCCGTACTACAAAAACAAAGACAGCCTGCCCACTTATTGTATCATGACTGCCTGCTTACGTCTTACGTCTCGGTCTCCCCACCGCTTAGGTAACGATCGAGCGTGTTCGGTGAACACACGGGTATGATCTCGAGACTCTTGTAACATAGATTGGGTACCGATGGTATATACAATTGGAAATTGCTACTAGGTAGGCATATGTTTGTGAAAAATATTGATTGACCAAAAACAGCAGAATGACCAATTTTCTTCAACTTAATGATAGTAGATTCCATTTATATTCATGTAATTTCATATTTTGTTATTTTTCATCATTATTTATCATTATTTATATATCGATAGCTTTAAAGCTCTTTTTGTCTTGAGATATTGTTATCACAGCTTTTCAGATGATAGTAACTCTCCATACTGAGTTTTTTCCCAGAATTCCCATTTCTTCCCAAGAAACTAAAAACTCACGCCGAAGGCATCAGGTCAACGCTATTAATGAAGATATTGCTCAGATTAAAGCCTGGGGAACCAACAACCTAGTTGAATTCAACGCCACCAAAACTCAAACCTGGTATTTTCTTTATAAAGGCGGAATTCAGTAAACCTGATATAGCAATGTCTGCGAGATGCTATTTCAATCCTTAACCGATCCTCATGATCTACAAAGCACAGATAGGGACTGTTCTAGAATACTGTTCTTACATATGGGGGTTGAGGACAAAAATATAGACTTGTTAGATTCCTTCCAGAGAAGAGCCATTCTCCTGGTGAGTGATGCCACACTCACTAACTCTTTGAAATCATTCATTGCAAAATCTCGTAGAGATAAGTCGACAACCTTCCACTTCTCTATAGATACTTCCACGTGAAATGTTCCTCAGAAATCTCTGCAATCATTCCATCATTAGCAAATACCAGTCAGCACACCCTTCCGTTGTCATCCTCGACATATGTCGAACAGCTCTCTATCAAAACTCGTTTGTCTAGATAGAACAGCAAAGCTCTGGAATCCCTTTCGAAACATTTCAAAAACTACCTCCTCTCCCTATCCTCCCTAAATTTCGGCCAACTACCTGGGTACGAACGATGTTCTTTGATTATAGGGAGTCAATTCCGTGCGCCTCAAACAATAAATAAAAAAACAGCCTAAAATATTTTATTAAAACTCATCTTCAAAAAAAAAAGAATCTTTTCAACAAGAGAGTTATATTAAGAAACCAATATCTTGAATAATCATTCACTATACCCTTCCTTGTCACTGCTTCATAAAAACAGATTTCACGAAGACACATTCACGAGAAACTCGATCAAAAATGAACCTAGAGTTAAAAATCGAATTCTCTGATGAAATAGTCTCCCAGAATTGTTTCCTCTTTTTTGGCCCTAAAATATTTATCACTTTACCGGAAAATATTAAAGATTAGTATTACTATCAGCAATAACCTTTCTTGGGAAAATCGCGTGAGATCAATTGCTAACAGTGCATCCCAAAAACTTGGTTTTCTGTTTCGGGCCAAGAGCTATTTCATTTCCAGTCAGCTGCTTATTATGATCTATAAGGCACAGATTCGATCTGTCCTGGAATACTGTTCCCATATTGGGAGTGCAGCAACCAAACATACCCTGAAACTGTTGGATTCTGTCCAAAAAAGGGCAATTCGTCTCGTGGGTGATGCCTCGCTCACAAACTCACTCACTTCTTTGGAACACCGTAGAAAAGTTGGCGATCTGTCTCTATTTCTTAGATATTTTCATGGACGATGCTCTTCTGAAATATCAACTATTGTTCCTCCCTTGGCAGAACCTGCGAGATTAACCCGTCGTGTTGGCTTCGCACCCCTTCGTGGTCACTTTGGAGACCTGCAGTACATCTCTTTTTAAAGACTCGTTCATCCAACGAACAGCAAGGCTCTGGAACACATTGCCAAGGGAGGTGTTCCCCGAAGCATATAACCTCCAGAAATTTGAGAAGAACACCAATTCATATCTTATTTGCCTTGGTTCTCACGATGTTCTCTGAACATTACAGGATATTTGTTTTCGTGGGAACCAGAACATAAAAAAAATCCATCAAACTATTCAAAAACGGAGCGAAAAATTAGGTACATATGCATTATGCACCCAGAAAAATTTCTATGTTTCAACTGAAATAGACTGTGACAAGGGTTACAATTTGTCCAATCTCTTTTGAAACCTAATTATTCCTTTATTTTTTCTTTCTCTCACTCTCTATACACATTCACACAAAGGTAAGTAAACTGCACATGCCATTAGAATACCATTACATGAGACATATACACTTGTACAAATGCCTTGCTGATCTAGACATCACAAAGCAAGCTACAATGCCTAGCGTCTACTGCAGTGAGTCATTCAAATCTCATACAGCTGTCCATTCATCTACAAAATTCTTGTATATAATTTAGATGTTAGTGAATGGTGTGAATGACACTATATTCTTTTGTGAATGAATCTTGAATCTTAAATTTCAATTTTTCGTACTTACCTTTTTGCAATCCATAGCAAATTCCTTTTCAGCTGGTACCAGAACTAATAATGCTGATAACAGCTAGTTGCACTGGTTTGTACTACCGACACATGACAGAGGAGTCCCATCGCAGGACTTTCGTGGGTACTAGGACCTGCATCGAGTCCAGAGTGAAGCTGGAATGTGAGAAAGAACAGCAGGAACAGCTGCTACTCAGCGTCATTCCCGCTTACATAGCTGCTGAGGTGAGTAACTCCGATACACTCGGAATATTGAAGCAGGACTAGCCTTAACCGAACTCACTGGCAAGACAATAATCGAACTTCGAAGCATATGCAGATTACCTATGCTCAAATTATAATATGTATGTACAGGGTGGATTTTTCTGAGAATTCGCGAGATACGTCAACGTTTAAATGATTTTTTCTACTCACATAACTAAAATGGCATTTAGCGTACGGATATGTACCATGCTAAATGATCGATTAATCACGGATTGTCGATCTGTGATTTATTCAAAATATTAAACACGTTACCATGGCGACACGATTTCTTAAACACATTACCATGGCAACGCAGTTCATTAAACACAGCTTCAGTAATTTGAGACATGTCTGGCCTGTCAATTGTATTAACTGTCAACTCATCTTCGAATTTTGTATCAGAATTATTCAAACAATATTTGTTTGTATCAGAATTCTTCATTGAAAAATATGCTAAAAGTAGACGAAAGTGAAATCGAAGAGAATGTTCTGGTACTTGCATATCACCAAGAAGTGTAAAAATGAAGCATCCATCTTTGAAAACAATTTATTTATTCTGCGCTAAGCATGACAATAAACGTGAAACAAAGGTTAGTAAGCAATGGACTGGAAACATCTACAACCAATATCACTTATACGTGTCTCGCTGGTTGCATGCAGTTGCATGTCTTATGTTCTCAATTTCCATTCCTTTCGAATTATTTTGTGGGTTAGCAGGAATTGCAGGTGTGTTAATGTAATTTTCGGAGTTCGTAGAAAAATCATAGTATGTAACGCGTTTATAAACTCTTCTAGACACTCGTTTATTAAACACTCGCTCCGCTCTGCTCCGCTCGTGCTTAAACTACTCGTTACTAAAAGGACGTTTATAACACTTGTTACATAATATACTATTACCTACATTTGGCGAGCAATATGAAGAATATAACCCATCAGGGGTTGCTGGAATCAACCCCAACATGTTTTTTTCAAATGCAACCTTAGGGCTTGCGACCTCTTATTGGAAAGCTGGTTATTGGAAGAGGAATCCAGGATACTGATCATATTTCAGTTTGCAGTACGTTTGGGGGTGGGAGTTTAATATATTTTCAACGTATTTTCACTTATTTAAATTATTTCCGAGAATTTTTTGAGCTCGAAGACAAGGGATAAATTTCGAAATATTCATGAGCGAACCAAAATTCCTGGAAAGTAATTTGACGTGGTATTCGGTAAGAAAATTTCACACCAGATTGTGTTTGAAAATTAAATGAAGTTTGGGTCGCAGTGTCGGCACCATATATAATTTCTACCTATTGAATTTGCATGAAAATAAACTGCCCCACATTTGAAGTGAGACAAGCAGAAATTTTTATCATTTTCAAACCGTGATAACTTTGGATGGAATCAACCAATTATACATTTTTTCCAAGATTCTGCTAGCCCATTCCATTGAGTAAAACATCAGTACTTTCTTGTTATTCCAGCTTTACGGCATGAAGACCTACAGGGTGATATCTGAAAATGTGATTTCATACGCTGGTGGGTACCCACGAGAAAAAATGTGCCACTAGAATACATATGTTGCTATGTTAATTTGTCATAAACACCTAATGGAACTGAATAAAAATCAAAGGAAGAATAAATCTCGAAATAAAAATTACTGGTGTGGAATTTTCAAAAAAATTAGGTTTCTTCATCGAATACTTTTTTATCTGTGTGTCTTCATCGATGATTCTGGTGTTTCAGGTCAAACGGAGCATAATGTTGAAGATGGCGGACGCTTGCCAAGAGCAATCCAACAGAAGCTTCCACGAGATGTACGTGCAACGTCACAACAACGTTTCGATCCTCTATGCTGACATCGTCAACTTCACTCCGCTCTCAGAGCAACTGTCGGCCTCTGATCTGGTCAAGACTTTGAACGAACTGTTCGGAAGATTCGATCAGATAGCTCAGGTGAGTGCATCATTCTCGTTGTTACATTGAAAATTTCATTTTCTCTCGACGATTGGCGAGAAATTTAGGAAAAATGTTTCATACAGAGCAGGGCAACAGTTTTCCATCTCTTGGAAATTCCTATAATGTTCGAAAAACATCGTGCGTACCTGAGAGGAGGAAGGTATTGATTTTTGTAACTTCTAGAGATTATAAGTACTTGGTAATACTGTCTTTGGCAAAGAATTCCAAAGCTCCACCGGGAAAATTTTCACCCGTGGGTGGGAGGTAAAAGTAGGTAATATGTCAGTTTCGAACTTTTTGAACGTCAGTAGAATAGAATAGAATAGAATAGAATTTATTGGTGTCTTTGAAAATTTCATTCATTACACACGTCAAATAGTTTGGAACATGTCCGTAGATATAAATATCTTGTTATAAAAAATATTAAAAATAGAGGATATGTGAACAGAACAAATAAAAGCAACAAGTATACATATAGTTACACAACACTAATTTATGGTTTAAAATATTTTTAAAAGTAGTAGGTACGTAAGATGGGTGTATTTTCATATATATGTCATGGTGTTATTCTTGTTAAATCACAGGACAGAAATTCATCCACCGAGTAAAAACTGTGTTTCAGTAGAAGCTGTTTGATAGCTAATTTAAATTTTGAGGAGCTGAGCGAGAGCTGAGCTCTTTGAAAGATTCTGGTACTTTGTTATATAAATTCAAATTGATTGAGTTCTTTGATGAAATATTGAGACGAAATCTAGGATTGATAAGCTGGGAGTTATTTCTGGTGGAGTAGCTGTGTAGATCTTTATGTCTGCTATAGCTGTGAACACGATCATGTATTTCAACCAAACAATAATACACATAAAGTGCAGGAAGTGTCAATATTTCCAATGCCCTGAATAAGGGTTTACATGAATCTTTGTAAGCTGCCTTGGCAATTACCCTAACTGCTTTCTTTTGTTGAATGAAGGCACGGTTTGCGTGGGTAGAGTTACCCCACAAAATCACGCCATAACTCAGATGTGAGTGGAACAGTGAGAAGTATGACATTTTCAGAACTTTCTCATCAACACTATTCCTCAACCGCCTGAGGATGAAGGTTTGACTTGACAACTTTTTACACAGTATGTCAATGTGTGCAGCCCACCTAAGTTTGCTGTCTAGGGTGATACCTAACAGTTTTACTGGTACATTTGTGGCAACGACAGTGTTGGAGGAAAAAGTAATTGACTGTGTTTTGGAGTCATTTTGAATCAGGTTGTTGGGAATGAGCCACTCACTGATTCTGTTAGAAGCTTCAACATCATTCTGATGAAGTTCTGTTGAATTCAGGGCGGAATTGTAAAAAGTTATATCATCAGCGAACAATATACACTGACTTGGTTTGATGTGATAGAATATATCATCAATGAATATTATGAACAGAAGTGGCCCAAGAACTGATCCTTGGGGCACTCCTGAGGTTATCGGCTTACACGCTGACGTATTATTCTTGTATGACACGTATTGAGTTCTCCCGCAGATATATGTCTCGAAAAAGGAGTAAGCTGTTCCTCGGACTCCATAAAGTTCAAGCTTTTCAAGTAAACCTCGATGTGGAACGCAGTCGAAGGCTTTGCTTAGGTCACATGCTGTAATGTAATGCTGTAGTAATGCTGTCATTAGATATATAGTTGTGAATAATAGCTATTAGTGTATCAAATCCCGCGTATGCACGACGCGTAGCCAAGGGCATTAAACACACATGGGAAGAAATGAACCTTCACTCCCATGATATATTTCTATATGATTTTATCAACGACCGCATTCTTTCAAAGCATCATTCTTGAAATTGTGCTTCAGACGGGCTATATCTCGATCTGAATCAATATGCATCACAATTTTTTTTCATGTTCTGGTTCCCACGAAGAGGAATATCCTGTAATGTTCAGAGAACATCGTGAGAACCAAGAAAAATAAGGTAGGAATTGGTGTTCTTCTTGAATTTCTGGAGGTTATATGCCTCGGGGAACACCTCCCTTGGCAATGTGTTCTAGAGCCTCGCTGTTCGTTGGATGAACGAGTCTTTGAAGAGATGTTCTGCAGGTCTCCAAAGTGATCACGGGGGTGCGAAGCCTCAACTCGACGGGTTAATCTAGCGGGGACTGCAAAGGGAGGAACAAGAATTGTTGATATTTCAGAAGAGCATCGTCCATGAAAATATCCATGAAATAGAGCCAGATCGCCAACTTTTTCACAGTGTTCCAGAGAAGTGAGTGAGTTTGTGAGCGATGCATCACCCACGAGACGAATTTCCCCTTTTTGGACAGAATCCAACAGTTTCAGGGTATGTTTGGGTGCTGCACTCCAAATTCCAGGAGAGGTTGGATCTGTGCCTTATAGATCATAAGCAGCTGACTGGAAGTGAAATAGTTCCTGGCCCGAAACAGTAAACCAAGTTTTTGGAACGCACTTTTAGCAATTGATCTCACGTGATTTCCCCAAGAAATTTTATTGCTGATAGTAATACCAAGCATCGAAATGGATGTCTTCAAAGGTATGGTTACGATGATATAGTATGCCATGGACAATTGATGGCATTGAAAAGAAAGTCAATTTGACACTTCTTCAATCATGAATTGTGTAACTGCATAAGGAAGTTTTGATTAGAAGTACGTTCAGAATATGAAGAAGAGCATACATCATAGGAATTCAAAAAGGATATTATTGTTACTTGATTGATAATAGTGATGGAGGCACTTATTACTTGCACAGATTTTATAGGTTTATCGACGCCGAAGGATGTATGCTGAGCCCAATTTATATTACCTCCCACGGGAGTTGATATTTTCCAGATATTTTCTTCCTCCGGTGGGAGTAAATTAACAACTTTGTTTCCTTGAATGAGGGAAAAACGCCTACTTTCGATTCAGTGGGTAGATAAACGATATTATATGGTCAAAAATCAGCGACGAAATGCAATAGACTCGTTTGATATCAGCATTAGTGGAAAATGGCCGATCCTAATTCAGTTTTCCCAAGTGATATCGAGAAAGCAGTACAAAATGTACTAATCTCTTCGTCCTTCCATACTTTTATCACGTAACTGGTGTTGAAATGAACATTTCACCACCAGTGCTGCAGTTCTACTACTACTTCAAAGAAAACATTATGTGACCATTGCGACACAGGACAAAACATGAATTATGAAACTAACAGATAGCTATTGGACAGTTTAACTGGCAGATTTTTCTCATGTTCTGGTTCCCACGAAAAGGTATATCCTGTAATGTTCAGAGAAATATTGCGTTCGATGAATCAGCCCCTGTGTTTTCTTATCCATGTTTACCCTCGAAGCGAATATCCAAGATAGTTTTCGAACAGCTCGATAACAATGCTTCCCAAGCTGTGTTTCCTATTATCAAAAACATAGGATGTTCTATATGATTGCCATAGTTGATAGGCACTCTAGTGAACTCTTGTAGGAAATGAAACACTTTACAAATAAATAGCTTTGCCTGCACTTAGAACAGCGGGCTTTTCTAACTAACAAAAACATTGAAACTTGTTTGCAATGGGATGCACAAGATTATTACAGCCTTCGAACATTCAATTACTTTCATGGGAAAGACTAGTTGTTTTAATTGGAACCGAGAATTAAGGGTCTTTTTGAATTTAATTTCGATTTGTTCTCGGTAATTGGGAAATGTTCTCAGTGGTGAACATATCTACTTCAAGTATGTAGATGAGTAACCAGAAACATTGAATTACTTGATGCTCTCTTTATAGTTTCCTATTCTGTCAGAGGATGAAATAATTACAATATGATTACAATAGTATACATTTCCTACGGCTGTAACAGATAACAACGACATTTTTTATTTCTTCGGATTGTAGCCATTTGATTTCCACTCAAGCATTGCTCATCTATTAGACAGAGCTGTCATTGATTAAAATCTGACATTTCATGGAAGATGAGATTTTGTGGAATAATAACACAAACCACGAGTTTAGTAATTCTGATACGTTAAAATTCAAAATTTGTATCTGAGGGTTTTCGGGGTCGGATATTATGATTTCATCGTCAAAATTGGGAATTTCAAGATCAAAGTTTGTATCTGCGGGTTTTCATGGTTGGAGATTAAGATGCATTTGTCAAAATTGAGAATTTTCAAAGACGGATTCAATATTCCGAACGAGTTTAGTAATTCTGATACGTTCAAATTCGAAATTTGTATCTGACGGTTTTTGGGGTCGGATATTATGATTTCATCGTCAAAATTGGGAAATTCAAGATCAAAGTTTGTATCTGCGGGTTTTCATGGTTGGAGATTGAGATGCCTTTGTCAAAATTGAGAATTTTCAAAGACGGATTCAATATTCCGAACGAGTTTAGTAATTCTGATACGTTCAAATTCGAAATTTGTATCTGACGGTTTTTGGGGTCGGATATTATGATTTCATCGTCAAAATTGGGAAATTCAAAATCAAAGTTTGTATCTGCGGGTTTTCATGGTTGGAGATTGAGATGCCTTTGTCAAAATTGAGAATTTTCAAAGACGGATTCAATATTCCGAACGAGTTAAGTAATTCTGATACGTTTAAATTCGAAATTTGTATCTGAGGGTTTTTGGGGTCGGATATTATGATTTCATCGTCAAAATTGGGAAATTCAAGATAAAAGTTTGTATCTGCGGGTTTTCATGGTTGGAGATTGAGATGCCTTAGTCAAAATTGAGAATTTTCAAAGACGGATTCAATATTCCGAACGAGTTTAGTAATTCTGATACCTACGTTTAAATTCGAAATTTGTATCTGAGGGTTTTCGGGGTCGGATATTATGATTTCATCGTTAAAATTGGGAAATTCAAGATCAAAGTTCGTATCTGAGGGTTTTCATGGTTGGAGATTGAGATTCTTTTGTCAAAATTAAGAATTTTCAAAGACGGAATCAATATTCCGAACGAGTTTAGTAATTCTGATACGTTTAAATTCGAAATTTGTATCTGAGGGTTTTCGGGGTCGGATATTATGATTTCATCGTTAAAATTGGGAAATTCAAGATCAAAGTTCGTATCTGAGGGTTTTCATGGTTGGAGATTGAGATTCTTTTGTCAAAATTAAGAATTTTCAAAGACGGAATCAATATTCCGAAAACGAGTTTAGTAATTCTGATACCTACGTTTAAATTCGAAATTTGTATCTGAGGATTTTCGGGGTCGGAGATTATGATTCCATCGTCAAAGTTGGGTAATTCAAGATTGCAGATCCAATATGGCGGACCAAGTTTTGTTATTATGATCGGATTCTATTCAAGATTTCTACCGGGGGTTTTCCGGATTGGATATTATAAATCATTAGTCAACAATGGGGGAGCGAGCGAACTAAAAAGGAGTCGAAAAATAATACAAATTACTTATTGTTTTCATTTATATAGCGGCAGTCCCCCAAGACCCGCATTTTTTTTCCGTCTTCAAATATGGCGGAGCCAGACTCCACCTGACTTTCAGAGAGGTTAGTTTTTTCCATGTTTGTTTATAATGTTTTTCTTTCCAGGACAATCAATGTATGAGGATAAAAATTTTGGGGGACTGCTACTACTGTGTCTCAGGTTTGCCTGTTTCTAGGCCAAACCACGCCTATAACTGTGTCAACATGGGATTGCAGATGATTGACGCGATACGGTGAGTTTGGTTGCTATAAAGGTGGATTCATGCAAGCAGGAGTCATGCAAGCAATTTAAAACAAATGAATTTCAAACTAAAACCAATAATATAAACATTATTCCAGATTTTTATTTTATAAATATTATTTCAATATACGTGTAGTAAGGACAAATCAGAGATGATTTGCATCAGAATGTCACTGCGTTTAAAGAATTTTCCTATCAGAGAGCCTTAAAGATAAATTCACTAGCTTGTCAGTGACAATTTATATTTAAAAAGATTTGGAGAAGAGAAATGAAGGTATATACAGGATGAGTCATTAGTGTGGCAAAGTGAGATAACTGCTTTACTATTTGAGATAGATGAATAAAAATTTCAGAGATGATCTAGGATCATGAGCAGCACATATCCAAATTATTTCGCATTATACAGGGTAACTCAGAAATGCGTGGCGTATTGAAGTTATACTTTTTCTTATGGGACACCCTGTATTTCATTGTATTTTCGCATTCTCCTTTGTGAGCTGATTTCATCATTGCATCACACTTGGGGTCTAGCGAGAATGATTACAGAGATATAGGGTGTTCAAAATCCAGATTTTTCAACTTTAGGACTTTTTTGCGTCGAAACTATTCATTATTGGTCAAAACGGCTCCCATGTCCCTTTCTCATCTTTTGATTTACTATCTACTGATATCTAATTGGAACAGATACAAGAGTGATCAGAATGCTGAATCTTGAACCACCCTGTATTTGTTCCAATTAAATGTCAGTAGATAGTAAATCAAAAGTTGGGATAGGGACATGAGAGCCGTTTTGACCAAAAATGAATAGTTTCGACGCAAAAAAAATCCTAAAGTTGAAAAATATCGATTTTGAACACCCTATATCTCTCATATACGTATTAATAAACAATACGGATCATAACGGGTGCCAGGATGAAGCCAAAAATATGAAACAAATGAATATCCATAAGGATTTGGTGGCATGATACGCATGCGTTTCGGTGGACAATGACGTTTACTAGCCTTTCAATCGAAGCAGTATGTGTCTGATCGTTTCAAAACTTTTCCTTATGGATAGTCATTTGTCTTCAAAAATCGGCTTCATGTTTCGCTATGGAAATAACAGATAGAGATTATCCGTATTGATTATTAATACGTATATGATATCTCTGTATAATCATTCCCGCGAGACCCCAAGTATGATGCATTGATGAAGTCAGCTCACAAAGGAGAATGCGAAAATGCAATGAAATACAGGGTGTCCCATATGAAAAAGTATAACTTTGATACGCCACGCATTTCTGAGTCACACTGTATAAAGCCAAATGATTTGGAAATGTGCTGCTCATGATCCTAGATCATCTCTGGAACTTTTGTCTATCTATCTCAAACTGTAAAGCCGTTATCTCACTTTGCCACACTAATGACTCACCCTGTACATAGAGAAAATATAAAATCTTCACTCAGCAGTGGACGTTTCTGGAACGAATCTGGTTTCGTTTTCAACATAAAGAATGGATTTTTTGTATGGCAAATTTGTATTTGCAGGCTCCTCACCCTCGATAGAGATTATTGACAAATTTGTGTAGAACTATTTCTTAGATAGTTTTTGACTATTTTCATTTTCGAAAAATATCTAGAAATATCATTCGTATAAAAAACATACGAGTTATAACTCGAAATTAAGCTTTTATTGAGTTGTGGTACGAAACCAAGCTCTCAATGAGTCAGATTTTCACAAGAAGTAGTCGTATAAATCTCGGTATAGTACCTAACAGTGTAGTAAACAATGGGAGAAATAATTTCATTTTATTTCTCATTGGGGCTACAACAAATAGAAATTGTTTTCTGTTTAGCCTTGAATCATGATATTTTTATTAGTGATCGTCATCTCAGACAAAAATTGAGGATGATGAATTTGTACAGAAGAAGAAATAACTATGACATAGCTCGGATTGAAGAGTTTATTGAACAGAAGCCCTTATTTCGAGTTACAACTCAAGGAAAGCTTAATTTCGAGTTGTAACACGAAATTAGTACTAATTTCGAGTTACAAATTAGTAAAAAAATATCTCTTGTCCGTTCTACGCTTTCGTACGATACAGATGAGTTATTGCCAACGTAGTTTTAAGAAAGGTGTATGAGAAGCACTATACACGGGATATATTGAATGTTGCAATAGTAAAAACGTTAAAACACCAAATAGGAAAGAAGTATTTTTGGCTCATTTCCTAGAAATGTCTGAAACCTAGAGGCCAAACACCATGGGCATGCTGGCTTCCGCAATAAGATCACCTACATAATGCTTCAAACGGTACACACAATAGATATATCACTAATTATTAGAAGATATCACTATTGTTAGTTCTTCCTATTTGCAGGGATAATTGATTGAAAGTGAATGTGGAAAGTGTCTTTCCCGCACGCGACTGCTTACCCGAACTCCGCTTCGCACCGTTCGGGTCAACTGCATTCGCATGCGGGAAAGTATCACTTTCCGCACTTGTAAGAAAAATTACTGTTGTACGAATCTTATCGTTTGTGAAATTTTTTACATCTTTATTGTGGTTTGGGAATTCCGTTTTGAGTTGTGGTGCCCGCGAGAGTCTCGTTTTCGAGAGTCTCGCATGGTCTCGTCTTCGAGACAAGACTCGAGACGAGACTAGGACAAGACGAGACGAGACTTTTATTAGTCTCGTCTCGAGTCTCGTGCAAGACTTCTCGAGTCTCGTGCGAGAGTCTCGCAGGTAAATATTTCTGCGTGCCGACTGCAAACTTGAGAATTTCATTCATAATACAACATATTCAGAAATAATTCAGACTATTTAGCACAGATAGACAAAACATTTCATTTATAAATAAATACTAAAAACACAATCCATGATCTCTTATGAGGGCGGAAAATAAAGGCAATTCTGCAATAACGACAGATCGCAAAATCGAATGACTACCTGAAAATCTATGAATAAGTCATTCTGTACTAAATAGTCTAAGATAAAGAATAACTTTGTTTTGACGGGAGTATGGATGCAGGAGCTTCAAAAATATTATTCTGTGCCTCGGTGTAATAGAAACACAGATATATTGCAATGGTGGAAAATTCATGCTTCTGAATTTCCCATTCTAAGTTTGAGTAAGCATACCGGCTACTTCAGTCCTGGCGGAAAGATTATTCTCACGTGCTGCGTTAACTATATATAAGAAAACATCAATCTGCACGATGTTGAAAAACAAATGTTTTTTTTTTCTTGTTTAGATGTATGATGTAAGTATATACCTATTAGGTACTCACTTCTCAATAAATAATGTTATTTTTGTTGTAATTTTGTCTTCCTACTTCTACATGAAGGTATAAAGGTGAATATCCCGTACTAGACTGGAAGAAGATTATGCATGGCGAAATTGCGATACATTTGCGAGACTCTCGTACGAGACGCGAACCAAGACGAGACTGGAGGCTGCGAGACGAGACTCGAGACAAGACTTCATAATTCATCGGCGAGACGAGACGAGACTTTATGAAAGTCTCGTCTCGTTGGTCTCGTGTGAATCACTAGTTTTGAGAGACTGAATTATCACGTAGATCTTTTGAGACTGAATCTGAGAATATCCTTTCAATAAACAGTGTTATGGGGATGATTGTGACAGGGTGTTGATACGGATGATACCCTTCTCTTTGTGTTCTTGATGCCATCATCAATGTCGTTATATTGTTTGATAATAAGGCAAATTGCCTACTGTTTCAACTCGGCGACCGAAACAAAGCAATTATCTGGATGTACACACAATGTAGATGTGCGCCCCAGGGCCGGACTGTATACAGGGTGACCACGGGATTATACTAGCCAGCCGTCATCGTCCCATGGAATTACAGGGTGTCTCTGAATAACGTTGGTATATTCCGGGAAGTAATTCTATAGATGAAAATATACTTCCTAAGGCGCTTCAGCTATTTGAAGGAAGGGCTTTGAAATTAGTTTTCTTCAATTGTCTTTGTTATCATTGATTCTATATATTAGTACCTAGAGTTTATATTCGATCTTACAAATTACGGAAAAAATGATATAATATACAGGGAGGTGCGAAACTCGTAACCGCAAGGAGAAAACACATCACTAACGCCCTAGTGAATATTAAATAACAACAAGTAAATACTTGTATACTATTTGAGAGAAGAAAACAAGAAATATTCGTGTTACACCTACCGCTAATAACCTGAATTTCAAAATGATATTCGTTAGTGAACACAGCACTTGTCATTTGTGACTGACTCACTCGTCATTAGTGACTCATTCACTTGTCATTAGTGACCGATTCCTTTGCGATTAGTAGTTTATTCACTCAAATCATGGAAATCATCCCTATTTCTCAAAGTGGTCCAATTGATTTTTATAAGAAAAAATAATAAAAGTCCCAAAGTCTGTCAACCACGAAAAATTATTTAATATAAGTAGTGTAACTAGTTTCGGCCACAGGCCATCATCAGACACAACATTGATGTATTCAGAAGTACCTAAAAGATATAATTATGAACATTGATGAGGAGTTGAAAAGAGTCAAAGTATACTAACCTCAGTAATACTTATTAAGTATAGTAATGATATGCCCTTGGGGACTGCCCATCAGTCAGATTATGTGATAAGTGAAATTTATTTATTTATTTATTTATTAACGGACAAGCCAATTATACAATTTACAAAAAGAAAGTATAAAAATACAGAGCACGTACACATTATCATATCTATGAAGAAGACTAACACAAAAAAAATGTAGAAGGCTAAAACGAATAGAAAGATGAAGATTATGAAAAAAGTGATCAACAGTTTTTTATCGCTCTCCTGAGAGACAATAATGATGAATTGAAAAGTTCAATTTGGTGATTGTTTGTGTTTGCTGTTTTCATAATTCTATTCATTGATTCATTTTGGCCATAATTTGTCCTACAGAATGGTATCTTGAAAATGTCACTATTTCTGTTTCTTCTTGTATTTGCGGAAAGCATAATCAGAGCAACAATTTCAGGAGAATCAATGTAACCATTGATAATTTTATGGAGGAATAATATATCAATTTCCATTCTTCTATGTACCAACGTATTCATGTTCAAAATATCTAATATTTGTGGATAGGTATATTCATCCCTATTGAATCCCATGTGATATACACAACACCTTAAAAATTTATTTTGACAACCCTCTAGGAGATCAGAATCAACTTTGTAAAATGGTGACCAGATCGAAGAATTATATTCAAGAATAGACCTCACCTGTGCACAATAAATAATTTTAACTGCATTGACAGATAGTTCTTTAGCAGAACGGAGGGAGAAGCCTAGCATTTTACGAGCACGAGATGATGTTTTTATTATGTGATGTTTGAAGGTCATTTTCGAGTCAAATATTACTCCTAAGTCTTTGATTGTATTAGTTACTGATAGATTAGTATCATTAACTCTGTAAATATGATCAATAGCATCATGGCTTCGTGAAAATGTTAACTTTTGACATTTATTCAAATTCAGTTTCAATAAATTGATATGGCACCATCTGGAAAAATTATTAAGATCGAGCTGCAAACTCTCAGCATCAGAAATGCATTGAACCGTTCTAAACATCTTCAGGTCATCGGCAAACATCAAGAAGGAACTGTTGATGATGACATCAGAGAGGTCATTAACAAAAAGATTAAATAACAGAGGTCCCATGTGAGATCCCTGTGGTACACCTGATAGTACTTCGATTGGTTGTGAAACTGAGCTCCCATATTTCACATATTGGACTCTACTAGTGAGATAGCTTCTGATCCAACTCAGAATATTCGCCTCTATACCCAAAGCTTCAAGTTTTGCAAGTAACAGACTATGGTTAACTCTATCAAAGGCCTTAGAGAAGTCTGTGTAAATAGAGTCTACTTGCAGCTTATTCTCTAATGAATTGATGATATAGTTCTGATAAAGCAACAGGTTTGTTGATGTTGATCGACCCCGACAGAAACCATGTTGTTGGTTAGATATAATATATTTTTAAAATCCCATGATAGTTTTCTAGTGATCAAACAATCCAACATTTTTGGTAACTCTGACTGATTACAAATACCTCTAAATTGTTAAATGTAATTCAGACTCCACCAGTGGATCCATATAAATTTCCATCAACAAAAAAGTCAGCTTGTATGAACAGCTATTTGGAAATCTTTGGTTTCATATTTCTTTCTGCAGATTTGTAAGGGAAGCCACCGGTTTCAACGTTGACATGAGGATCGGCATCCACACCGGCAATGTACTTTGCGGCGTCCTAGGGCTCCGGAAGTGGCAGTTTGACGTTTGGAGCGATGACGTAACGCTAGCCAATCACATGGAGTCAGGAGGCATAGCGGGGTGAGTGAGCAGTTGATCACACAATAGACAGTTGCTGTACACACTGTACGTAGACCTTCACGTAGACGTAAACGTACGGAAATTAACGTTCACGGATTATCCCTAAATTTCATAGAGTTCATAGACGTCAGTTCCTTTGAAATTTGCAAAGAAACCGCTTACCGTGCGATAATACCTGGCAAGCATTTATCCACGATTTTTAGATTTAATCAATATATGTCAAATTTTAAATGAAAACTCTCTTTACTCAAACTCGATATATTAGAAACACTTCATCACTTTGTTGCAATGGTCGAACAATGATATACATCCTATGGATATTCAGTGGATTATTTAAAAAGACGAATCGTTGGTTTGAAAATCTGATAACGCACCATCTTGTAGAACAGAAGAAGTTTTGCTACATCTATTCATATGGAGTAATGAAAATATTAGTTAGAGAAACAAAAGAAACACCCTTTTATAGATAGCTAAACTAGAAAGAGATAGAGAATGAAATATTGATAGTGTGTTGATAAATACAGAACATAGAAAATATTAACTCCTCCGTAATGGATCTCCAGTGGATGTTCAAGGAGATGTTGATGAATTTCATATGCCATATTTCATGTCTTCCCTAGTATAATATAACTAATTACACATAAATATAAATACCTATCAATTTGATTCATTTATTCTATATTGATTACTGAGATTCATCACCAAGATATTATGATGCTTATTGTAATTATTGTTATCCCCTAATTTTGTTGCAAGTTCTTCTCGTAATCATTATGTAGAATTGCAATTTGAAGAATGCATGATGAAAGAAAACATGATAAAAACTCTCGAATCTATGGGGAATTTGGGAATTCGTATGATTTGTATGACATGAGACATAACCTCAATTCTAGTTCTACTTCTTCCTTTTTGCTTGGATGGCACATCATTTCATAGAATGTCATCTGGAGACATCCATAGGCACTGGCGACATATTGAGGATACTCTAAGGCGATTGTGTGCTAAATGGACAATGTTGCCACATACAGTGTGTCCCACTTACCATGCTCACCATGGGTATCTTTTTAACGGTGAGAGATACGAGATCGGTTAAATGACACCAAATGTGGAGTTTTTCAAGGCCAACTATAATGTGAAAAAATATTTTGATAAAATCTATTCGTTTTTGTTTTATACGCAAAAAACAGATTTGGGTCATTTTCTCGTCTCCTCTGTAACTTCTTTATTTATGAAAATATTCAAATAGGAATTCCACATTCTCATGGAAGTTTTTCAAAGGGATTTCGAAAAAAATATGAAGTTTATACCAACTCTTCTACAATTTGAGATATCAGCACCAACGTTAGTTTTTCAAATGTAGGTCATAGCTCACTATGACTAAGGTACGAATAACTTTTTTTTCTCTTACAGAGGGTATGTCGCAGTAATAGTTTTGTGTTGATAACAACGGAGTTATCGTCATTTATACAAAAACAAAAAATATTTGGAAGCCGCCATCTTGAATTTATAAATTTTAGCAAGAAAATCATGATCTCCGACCTCAAAAACCCCCACTTACCAATTTTGAATGGAATCGGACCAAATCTTGTCCGCCATCTTGGAGCAGCCATTTTTTTCAATTTCAACCAAAATTCCATAACTCCGATTAACTCGAAATATGGCAGGTATTCATAATTTCGGTGACAATACATTATGGAATTTTTGTTGAAATTAAAAAAAAATGGCTGCTCCAAGATGGCGGACAAGATATGGTACAATTCCATTCAAAATTGGTAAGTGGGGATTTTTGAGGTCGGAGATCATGATTTTCTTGTTAAAATTCATAAATTCAAGATGGCAGCTTCCAAATATTTTTTGTTTTTGTATAAATGACGATAACTCCGTTGTTATCAACACAAAAAAAAAGGGAAAGGAAAGATCGTGATCTAATAAATACCGGTAAACAAGCGGGTGGCGGTGTCCTGGTTGCTGTTAGTTCTCATTCAAATTGCCAGTTATTACCATTTTCATGCAATATCATAGGTATTGAAGATATTTGGGTAAAAGTTGATTTAATGAATAATACATTATTTTTATGTTGTGTTTATATACCGCCTAGATCACCTATTCAGTGGTATAATACATTTTTCGATAGTTTTGAAAGAATAATGTTTGGTTTGAATGCTGATGTGCTAGTTGCAGGGGACTTCAATATACCACGTATAGTAAATTTACACACCCTCACTAATCTTTCAAGTATTGAAGTTGCTTACTTACAGTTCTTAGAAGTATTTGATCTAAAACAATGGAATATTGTTAAAAATCATAGAAACAGATATTTAGATTTGGTTTTATCTAACCTCAATGTGAAAATCGAAAGATGCGATGTTCCTGTGGTGAAGGAGCCTCCTGAACACCCAGCGCTATTTGGTATTTTGGAGCTTACCTTCAATAATCTTAATAAATATAGTAAATCTTTTAGTTCCCAGTATAATTTCAGAAAGGCAGACTTTGAAAAAATGTATATGCGTTTTGGCGAAAAAACATGGGATGATTTAATTGGATGTGATGATGTAAATGTAGTATTGGATATTTTTTATGGACATGTGTATGAAATATTCGATGAATGCGTTCCACTGGCAGTCCAAAAGAAGAGACGTTACCCCCCCTGGTTTAACCGCAATATTATTGCTGATATCAGACGAAAACATGTTTTCAGAAAAAGATATAAAAAACAACAAAACGAAAACGACAGGCAACAATATATATATTTACGCTCAAAAATAAAGAGAGACATGAAAATTGCACATGCTGATTATGTTAAAACCATGGAAAGTGATATAAAAAACGACCCAGCTAATTTTTGGAAATATATCAACTCGGTAAAGAAGAATAGCGATTCTATATCAGGGGAAATGCATTACAATGGTAACACTATGATTGACAATGTGGATATAGCGAATGCATATGCAACGTTCTTTCATTCAGTCTATTCTGGAACGAAGGCTCGATATAATATAGAAAGTCTTGAAAATGAATCGAATACCATCGATAAACTGCAAATCCAGGACATAACAGATGACGAAATAAAGGTCGCTATCAAATCTTTAAAACCAAAAAAATCTCTAGGACCGGACAAAATACCTGCATATATATTCAAGGGCTGTGCAGATTACTTGATAAAACCCCTAAAAATAATCTTTAATCTTATTCTGAAAACATGTGTGTATCCCTCCAAGTGGAAAATCACTAAAATCTGTCCCATTTTGAAAGGTGGCAATAAAAATGAAATCACCAATTACAGACCAGTGGCATTAATCTGTGCTCCAAGTAAGTTATTTGAATCTTTGTTATATGTGAAAATATTTGACTATATTAATCTAGAATTATCAGAAAAACAACATGGATTCATTTCAAAAAAATCAACTCTGACAAACCTATTAAGTTTTTCACAATCAATCAATGAAGAGATCGATAACAATGGTCAAATAGATGTCATATACACAGATTTCGCAGAGGCGTTCGACAAAGTTGACCATGATATAATTCTCAGTAAGTTGTCTGAATTGGGATTTTCTAATAATTTGTTGAAACTCTGTGCATCATATCTCGAAGATCGTCAACAGTATGTGGTATATAAAGGAGGTACATCTTGTGAATATTTTACAAATTCAGGAGTACCACAAGGGTCAAACTTAGGGCCTATATTTTTCTTGTGCATGATAAATGACCTACCGGATATTCTTGAAACTTCTGAATGCCAATTATTCGCTGACGATTTGAAGGTTTATGCGAAAATCGTCAATGAATCAGATTGTGAAAACTTACAAAATGATATTAACAGAATAATGTCTTGGTCTGAAAATAATAACCTATACTTCAATTTCGGAAAATGTTTCTCCGTAACATTTACTAGAAAGAAAAATATAGTGGACTTTACATAAAAATTGAATGACACAGCCTTACAAAAAAAAACCGGAGCTATGGATTTGGGTGTTTATTTGGATAATGAACTGAACTTCAATACACATATAGATAATATCTCTAAGCGGGCGTACAAACTACTTGGATTTATAATAAGAAATTCTTGCAAATTCAATGACTTAAAAACATTGTGTTTCTTGTATAATGCTCATGTAAGAAGCATATTGGAATATGCTTCGGCAGTATGGTCTCCTTTTTACGAGCGTCATAAAAACGAATTGGAGAAGGTCCAAAAGAAATTTTTGAGGTACCTATATTATAAAAAACACAAAGTGTATTATTTTGATATACCATATAAAACTTTATTGAATGAGTTTAAATTAATTAAATTAGAACATAGAAGAGAAATAGCATCGGTACTATTCTTGCATAAATTAGTTAATGGGCAAGCCATTTGCCCGGTAATTTCAAGAAAGTTAGTTCGTCCTCAAGCACACTATGTTAATAGAGATATCCCCATATTTTTTCTGCCAAGACCGAAAACGAATCTTGGTTTGAATGCTCCTGTATATAGGATTTGTAAACTGGTAAATGAATTAAAGTTGGACATCTTTCGAAAAACGTTCAATGTTGTTAAGCAAAGACTATTTTCATATTATAATATAAGTCAATCAAATTAATAATCTACTGCATATCATCATACAACTTAAAACATTCTAGGCCTGTATTGTGGCATTATGTATTTGGGTTAGGTGAAATTCGTTTCACATTTTCACAACTGAATTACTTGATATATACTCTTCTTTTCTTATTTACCACTATAGATAACGTTTCTCTGCTCACTGAAATCTGATTAGTCTTAAGGAAATAATTGTAATCGATTATTGGATTCATTTCTGTGAGATTACATACAAATAAAATAAAATAAAATAAAACTATTACTGCGACATATCATCTGTAAGAGAAAAAAAAGTTATTTGTAACTAAGTCATAGTGAGCTATGACCTACATTTGAAAAACTGAAGTTGGTGCTGATATCTCAAATTCTAGAAGAGTTGGTATTAATATCATATTTTTTTCGAAATCACTTTGAAAAA